ATATATATATATATATATATATATATATATATATATATATATATATATATATATATATATATATATATATATATATATATGTACATATATATATATATGTACGATACAGACTATTTACGTTACGAATGTACACGCCGAGAAAAGTGCACTTTTCTACCTGAATATACTGAGGATTCGATATATTTAACGACATTCTGTTGTCGCGACGTTTCTAGAACGTTGTTGTAAATCTCTCCGTAGAAAACGCGCGATCTCTGTTGATTTATACGTATACTACGAGCGTATCTGTTTCACTCGCAGAGAGGATTACATCGTGTGCGCGGAGTTACTTGGATGTATATCTCCGGTGGGTGGAACATCGCGTCGCGAAGGTGACCAGAGATTTCTCAGCCTTTCAAATCCGAGTTTTTTTATAATGTGTAGAGTGAAGGGGGGAGATAATTTTATTAGATTTTTATTATGTGTAGAATGAAGGGGGGAGATAATTCTTTCCAAAAATTACATATATAAATACACACGCGCGTATAAAACAATATCTCACTTATAAGCTATTATGAAAAGTAATTTAATGACAGTGAAGGCCTGCTGCATACAAAAATAGAAACTATTGCTAAGATAAAACTGTTGTTATTCTCACTAAAAATTAAAAAGAAGTAGCAAAACTAGTGTGTTTATCAAAGCTGTGAATTTTCTTGAGAAATCTTTCTTTTTTTGTTATGAAGCATTTTAAAAATTCTCCAAATCGGAATAAATCGGAATGGTTTGAATCAAACAAATTGGCGTGCTGAATAGCATTTGAAGAAATCCGGGACAGAGGGTGAAAAATCGGGACTTATCGGTAAAAACGAGAAGTCTGGTCACCTTGGAAGTAATCCGATCGATCTCACCACGCGCGTCGCTTTATCTCCTGTAATCCTAAGAGAGTAAAAAGATCTCGTAGATAACACGTAGGATTTGACTTAGTAGAGTGGAAAAGAGACAGAGAAGGTGGAGAAGAATCGGCATGGTGATGACACGCGCAAGGGAAGATATAGATCGCGATATAGATAGAGAAGAAACGAGTTAAACTTCGATGTCGAGACGTATCTCTAATTTAAAAGTAAGATTTTTCCAGCACTTGCACCGATAGCAAAAGGAACCTCGATATTACTTCTTTCAGAAAGATCTTAGTGAAATCGGGACAAAAAAAAGGAATCGTTAGCGATTATTGTTACTACTAACGATCTCGCAGCGCGTCACAAAATGCGATATCACACGCGTCTTTTGCATATATATAAATCAACAAAAAAAAAAAAGAAAAGGATATTATACATTATCTTTTTACACTCGATATTTATACTTAAGCGGTTACAAAAGTTTGTGCCTGCGCGCGGAGAAAGCTTCGTTCTCGATGTCGTTTTACAAATTGTTTGTGTTCACTTGAAGGTACACTCTTTATATACGATTTTTATCGACGCCAAGACCGGGTGCAAAGAGACCTGACGTTTAAGAAAAGAAGAGGGCAAGAACGGGGAACAGAGAAAAACGACGAAATTGGTGTCGCGTGAGCGCACGATACCAATTTCGCTCCTTTTCATAAGTAAGCAGGCAGGCAAGAAGAAATAAAAACTAATCACACGATTATTATTCGTCACGTTTTCACGCGTGACAAGCGCGTTTACAATAAGAGTTCCACCCGCGTTAATGACCGCGTTTTCTACGACGGCAACAGTTCTCGGCGCGCGGATACACGTTCGTCTATTGGGGTCCACTTAAAAGTTATTGCGGAGAATTATGAATCTATATTACAAGCAGTTATAAAATATTTTGCGAGACAATTACGATACATACACATTTATTATACATACACATTGGGAGAAAAATATCTAAGAAACAAAAATATATTCACTCAAGAGTGGACACTGATAGCATGTTTTCTTAAGTCTAATTTCTTTTATTATTTCTTTTATTTTTAAATAATAAAAAACTAAGGTTAAGAAGATGTAATTTTCTTATTTGAACAAATTTTATATCAGTATAAGTGAATACGTTAGTAGTACCCATCGAATAAATATTTTTTACTTTCTGGATATTTTTGTCTCTCAATGTATATACATACATACACACAAATGCATACAGCACACACACGCGCGACGCGGAGGACACGATCTAAGGTATTTAGTGCGGTAATATTGCGAGATCTTGCTCGAACACAACGTGTTTTCTCGTTCGCTCGGCGCGGTGATGTGCGTCGAAGGGAAAACGGAGGAAACGCGTGCACGTAATTATAAGTACGACGTATATAGTCGCACACTCGTAAATGTAGCATTAGAGCGAGTCGGTTGTGTACAAGCCGTCACTCGAACGGTTCGTTGCATCAACACGTGGCGGTCTCAGCTGACCGTCCCATGTTAGACTTGAATGTTAGATGTCTCTCTTCGGATTCGGACATGATCTTTAAGTATGTTAAACGTAGCTGAGGGTAGAACATTTACATCGACCGTCGGCGACGTTGGCACAGCCGGACGTTGCTGAACGAACGAACGACGTCAGTCCAACGATGAAATCCGACGAAAACGAAAATGCAAACGAAAATAAAGGAGAGAAGAGAGAAGGAGAGAGAGAGAGAGAGAGAGAGAGAGAGAGAGAGAGAGAGAGAGAGAGACGAGATAAACGCAAAGTTATAATGAAAGTTCAAGGTGTATATGTTTGTTTGAGAAGCTCACTTAGGTGTAGGCGATACGACATTTAACTTTCGTGACTCCTCTGGAAGCCAACGTTTATTTACCCGCCAGCGGGTTTGAATAATTGCGCGTATTCTTTGCGCAATGAACGCGGCTGTTATTACTTCATCGGTCAGCACTGCCTAATTTTCACGTAAGGCACATATACTACACACACACCTATTCGTACAAAGAAAAACACATACATACAGCGTGCTTTACACGATAATTGTCCCTCCCCCTTCTGTAATCTACATGTAATGTCGCGTCACTTGGAAGAAATCAAACGTAAAGAAGTGAAAGAAAAATAAGAGTACTCGGAGTGTTAGTGCGCTCCGGACCGGCGCCTTCCAAAATAAGATTTCGTACAACGCACGGAGCACGAAGGTTAATTTCGCGAGCGGTTCTCGACGCAATTTTCTGCGCGCGAATTCATCATGGGCTCGGTCAGTGGTCTTTACTTCTCCCGTTCGTACTATTAGAATAGAGGAAGATAGAGAAAGGGAGGGAGTGAGAAAGAGAGAGAGAGAATGAGAGAGAAAGAAAGAATGATAGTGAGAAGATAGAGAGAGAAATAAGATATAAAGATATGTAATAATTATTATTAATAAGCTAAGAGTCACGACACTACGCATCACACGTCACGAATTCCGCATCTTACGTATCTTACCTACCGTGAATTTGCGCATAATATATTGCATTACGTATTACTTTCCCTTTCCGATATATGAGCTAGCGCCGTCTACCTAAATACATACATATATAAATGTATATATATACATACATATATACATATATTATATATGTGCCCTATTAGACGAAATATCTGCGAGCGTTGAGCGTGTACATAGCGCTTCATGCAAACTGGCGATAACCGTATTCCGCAGAAGTAAGTGGTAGCGACTTAGAGCGATCGTAGATTCCCGTATGTATCATTTAGAAGATTTCTCTCCTCCTCACATATAGTAAGCCCTCGTTGTTGGTTATTCCGGAGCCCTTCGTAGGCAGATATACGTTTCGTTGATGGTGAGATACCCGGAAATATACCCGTAATAGGTGCCAATCGTAGGGAACGTCTAACGGTACTATCGCTGTTTGTTGCGCGTGTCCGAGCGCGAGGACGGACATTGCGAATTGTTACTTCTACTGCGTTATCCGCGTCCGCGAATAACGCAGAAACGACGAATTACTCGGCGAGGGAAGTGTGTGTGTCGCTTCCTCTCCTCTTTTCCGCGCGTTGCGAGTGAACGAACAACGAGATCTTATTGCATCTAGGACTCGCGTGTGCGTATGATCGCGACTGGCTGTCTGGTGCAACAGTTGAAGTGTCCAACGCGCTGAAGACTCTCATTAAGTCTCTAATTTCTCCGTTACGTCGCGTCGCAATTGTACTCCGAGCGCGGAGATTCTGCGATGTGTGTTTTCAAGCGCCTTCCGGATTATATGTCGTCGTGATCCTCTGCTTTTCGAGAGAGAGAGAGAGAGAGAGAGAGAGAGAGAGAGAGAGAGAGAGAGAGAAGATTGCGGAAATCGAGGAAGTCGCGTTCACGAGCTTACATTTTCGAGAAGACCACACGTTACAGAGCTTTCTGCAATTCTGCGTAATTCGCCTTCAGTGATTGCGAGTCGACACGACTGATCTCCTCCGTAGCTTCTCTCGCATGCACATAGAAAAATACGTACTGCATTCAAGTTAATATTTGCTTTCGTCCATGAGCTTATACATTCGCAGATCTACCCAAAGTTCATTAATCGAATTTGTTCTAAGTACATTCTGAATCCTAGCGAGTTTGGCATATTCAACGAAGAATATTAAATTAAAATGAAAATTCAGTTTTATGTGATATTTGTGTAAAGAAAGTACATTTTTCTTTTGTAATAAGGAACTTCTCAAAAATTTCTGATATGAAGAAGTACATCTTTAGATTATCATCACAAAAAAAAATATTCTTTGTTGAAGATGACAAAATTGCTTGAAAGAAGGAGATTAAACCGAGCAGGTGGTTTTTTCAGTAGAGCAGAATGATACTTTTCTGTGTGTGTGTGTGTGATCTCCGTCCTTGAAAGATGCGAATTTCGGACGGGCCTGGAAGCGGGATTTTCCGTTTTGCGAGAAGCTCGCCGAGTCTGGCCGGAACTTTCCTCGGAATTGTTTCTATTCTATTTGCACGGACGGAGAACAGAGTTCGTAGACCGCGTAGACGATACGTACACACGCGTGTACAATGAACAAGCTCTCGTACGATGCTGCGTATCTTTTTTGTTACGTGTATATAAGTAACTTCCTATTATTATTTTTTTATACGCGTTCTAATCTATGCGCGTCACTCGATCGAATATCTCTCTCTGAGAGGAGAAACGGCGCGAAACTTAGCGAGCGCCGTGTGTGTACGTATGTGTGTGTGTATGTGTGAGGGAGTGTGCTTCTTGTGTGCTTTCGGTTTCAAACGCAACGTTTAGCTCTGATCTCCGCATTGAATATGCTTTCGCGCATTATCGACGACCAATTAACAAACGGACAGACGTTGGGAGAGGTGTAAATCGCGGTGGGAGGGGCAAGTGCTTTTTTCAGAAGACTATCTTTCAAATTTTTGTATAAACTTATTATACAATGATATATGTATACACTCTATCTTCCTAATATGATAATTAATATATATAAATATAAATATAAATATATATATACGATTACACGCAGAGCCATAATCTGCAACTGATAAACTCGTTTCCGTTTGCGCGGATCGATCGACAATTATTATGAAAGTTTCATCACGACACTTTGCCCGGATCTATCTTGTAATGCGAGCGAGCCCCTCGCGCGTAACGTGCGGAGCGGTTTGTTCTCCTTTGGCGTCGTTTCCACACGCGGGAAACAAGCTCAGAGCCGAGCTTGCGGTATAGAGGAAGTCGCGGAGAAGTCGATCGATCACCGCGATTCATCGTCGCTGGCGTTACGCGCGAGAAGACATGGACGATATAACCTTGTATGTGATTCTACATTAAACAAAACTGTAAGCAAAAGTAATCTCTATCGCTATTTTAAACTTTCAGAGTTTAATAAAACGTTTTCACTAACAGTCAATCGTGTGTGTCTTATGAGTGGGAGCCATACCCGTCCAATTTAACACGAGTCCCGAATTTTCCAAAGTGAATCTCCGCTGACGACAAAGTTTGCGAGTGCACCGGAGTCTTTTTCAGCAAATATTCCATGAAAAATTTACGTGGCTTCCTACAAAATAGCAAAGGACCTTTTTGTTCAATTTAACATAATGTACCATCACAACAAATACGGCAGACATTGCTCGCGCATGATGACTTGCCAATCTCCTTGAATTATCGTGCATAATCATGCAGCAATCCTCTTTCATTAATAAGCAAATTGGCCACCTACAAAATAGTAGAAGAGTTTTATATTCCATTTGATTTAATGTACAAGCATATACAACAGTAAACATTGCCATTTCAGTTCATCTATTGTATCGTGCATTCATCAATCGTGTTTAATTAATAGCTGAAACTTTCACGTGCGTGTTTGCGAAATGGTGGAAGAGGAATTTCGTGTTCAGTTTAACGAGTTTCACATGTAACGGGTGTGTCATGAAATGTCAAACACCCTGTATAAGCATAACACCCTGCATAAGACTTGAATTTTAACGTGGCCGTTTTTTCGTTTCTTCTTTCGCTCTACCTTCCGGCGGGATCTTTACACTTTGTGCATACTATTAGAGGGTCGCGATCATTTGTTTTGGAAACGGCCGGGGAACGTCGCCTCAAAATGGTAAATGCATGCGCGCGCAATGCCAGCTCGGCGCACCAGGTGTGTGTAGTCGTCGCTGTGGCGGTACTTTTAGCACAGGCCTGGTGGGCGGCTGTAGGGTAGTTTATCGACCAGGATACGAATCTCAAAAGGTTCAGTAGTCGCGGGACCACCACCCCGTCAAAACGGTTTCACTGAGCGTGCTTTACGGGCTTTACGGTGCTCTCATTTCCTCCCACCCCTTCGTCGCCGCTCTTGCTCCGCTTCTCTCGTCTCCTCGTCACCTAGCGCTCGCGGTTTTTCCTTTCGTCGCTCTCCACCCTCGATATTTCCCGAAGTGCAGCGGCCGTGGTGAAACAGGACAGGAGGCCAGGCGGCTCCACATTCTCTCACGTTTCAGCGGGACCTCCAGCTAACCAGGTGAGTCCAGTAAAACGACAGATAAAACGGGACGAAACGGAGGGAGAGAGAGAGAGAGAGAGAAAGCTCCATTTTTTCCGCGCAGTAACGAACGATTGATCTTGTCTCCTTCACTGGAGAATGCACCGCCTCTATGTCCTCGGCGACACATATCCCTCGCGTAGTTGTGTCACTTCGTGCTCGAGCCGTGCTCGTTGAGTGCGTCGCGGATAAAATTCTTCCTGTAATCACGCACCCCAAAGCCGTGATTTCTTATTCTTTGGTATTGGAGACAGTGCGAGAGAAATTCGTACGAATTGACAAACATTGCGATGCAACTGCGATCGTCCGTTAACTCTCCGTTGCTCGCCGCAGATGAACAAATATGGGGCAATGGAACGTCTCGATTAACGGTGATTCCTCGTTTCACGCTTTTATAGTATCACGCTCGTGTGTAATCGATTCGGCCCGCCGTGGAACCGCCGCGTGAATTTCGGTTTACCGATTAACGAGACTCAGACACACTTGCCTTAATTTGCTCAGGGACACGTTCGATATAGAACGTCGGGCTCGGTGCTTGAACGCTTATCGGCAAAGCGTGAAATTCCCCTTGGATGTTAAATGTGCAATGGTGACCCATTTATCGATTTTCCGAGATTTTAGTGCAACACACATCAGGCGTTATTCGCGTTACACCGGCTCGTTGAAATCGCGATCGATTGCACGGCCAAATCGAGTGTCGAGTGTCAGAAGGGGAATTCGACACGCCGTGCTAGATTTATATGTGTGAAAGTAACGTTCTCCAGAGACATCGCTCGGCTGGAAAAAAGGTGGTTGATCTCGTTGTCTCGATGAGAGGCACGAGGTGGATCCCGTCCGCCAACGCGATCACGACGCGAAATAAATTCCGTTTCTCGTAGACGGCTATATCTTCTTCCTTCTCGCGGCCGAGCTCGAGTCTAAGGCTAATGAAATCGCGATAGGAATGGACACACGGCCATATGGCGTGCACTAACCTCGATTATCGGAAACTGTTATAGCTATTTTTCTGGAGCACAGCCAAACGGAATATCAACGGTAACCAGCGCGACCTAAGGCGGCGGCGGTGGCGACGGCGAGTCAATGCACGAAAAGTGCAGGTCGTTGCCATAAATTAATGCGTGCCTTGTTTTCGGCAATGCGGTCGCCGATTCCCGGCCTCCGTGAGACCACGTTTCAGTTCCGTCGCGCCGCGACCATCCACGGTTGCGTCGCGAAAGAAAGGAAAACAACAGCAGACATATATATTGTGTCGTTCCTCCGGAGGGACGCAAAATTCGCAGCGCACCGCCGCTCCCGCCACCACGGCGCGGATCCGCTGGCCAACGTAGAACGGCCCGCGAGTTGGTACCTTCCATGAAAGGGTGAACCACCTCGATGCAGCGTTGCCTTTGCCCTCGAGCGGCAAATTGGCCGCCGCGAACATGCGAACACGCGTGTGTCACACACAGGCGCGAATAAGAATCGCGAGCAATCGCGGCGAGCTCGCGATTTTCGAGAGCGAAATCGAGGCTAATGCGGAAGACCGAGGACGTTGATGTCCTCGCGCTTGCTTCTCCTTTTTCCGTTGCTCCTCCTTATCCGGCCAGGATTTTGGCGAAAATCCAGGCTACGAGATAGTAGTGTAATACTAGTTGCACATTCATGCGCCTATAACTGGCCTACTCTCTCTCTCTCTCCGATGCACGTGGAGCCGCAACCATGACATCGAGGAATCAGGCCACTGTTCCACTTTACGCCTTTCTGAAGCGATAAAGGTTATCCGTTTATTATGCACATATCTCACCGGCGCGATTCGGCATTGCAAATCGAAATCTTCGCGCTCCTCGTGGCCGCCCAGGGGGTGGGTTGCGTTGGCGGCCGCGTTGGCGGTTATTAACTCGGCCAAGCGGTGTTTCGAGGGGTGCGAGCGGAGATGAGGAAGGAAGGAAGGAAGGAAGGAAGGAAGCAAGGAGTCGACGGGGAGGAGAAGGAGATGTATTAATCATATTAAAATCGCGTTTCTCGCGCCGAATCGCGCTGAATTGTCATACGAGCGCCGCGAGAGTGGCGTGATTTTTCCGCTTCGCTCTTATTCTTCTCCGCCGTCCTCCAACCCCGCGAGTAAGCGCAAAACTCCCGCCCGCGGTCACGCGAGATCACATTTATCGTTAACGCGTATCGACGCGGGGCAAAGAGCCGGAGAGAACGGCGAGAGTAGGGGAGTCCTACGAATTTCGGATTATACAACGAGGGTGGACGGTCGGGGGTGGCCAGCAACGCAGGGGGAGACGGCAAGTCTACCGACTCATGCGACCGACGACGACGGTCGGTTTTTCAGTCGGCGTGTATACCTGCACCCTGCGCCAGCACTTGGGTTGTTCGATAATCGAGGTACAAAGGCCATCGCCCCCGAGAACATATCTAGGCCACCGACACCACCGCCGTTCGCCGAGTAATCGCCTTCACCATTGCACATCCGGCCACTAAAACACACACCGAGGGAACGTCCGTGCGCTAATTCGAGCGTCGATCCGCGATACACGAAGGACAGGGGGCGGCGAATCGAATCTCGCGCCGCGCCTGCAAAATTCAACGGATGCCCTTCCTTCTCGCCCCCGCGGCGACCTGAACGCGCCTCCGAGATAGATATCGTTTCGTGAATTACGACGCGAGTTAATGTCGACGCGCGCGCGCTGCCACACGTGAGCCAGGGCGGCTCGTAATCGGAAAACTGTGTCGCGTGCGTTAATTTTTTACGGGCTCCGATGGTATCTTCCTAATTGCCATCTGCGCTCTCGATTACATCATATTCGAGGCGGGCAGGAGAGCGAAGTCGACAACGAGTCGAAGGGGTGGAGAAGCGAAACGGAAGGAGAGCAAGCTAAAACCTCGTTTGTTCTGTCTCTTCTACCCCAGCAGGATGATTACGGCGTTACCGGTGCCCACGGTGAAGGTCTTCCACAAAACGTATTACCAGGAGAAGAACTCGAGAGCGGGCAACAGCCAGCCGGGGAGTCCATTGGCCGAGAGCGAGGCGGTGCTGGCTATGATAGACAAGGAGCCACCGGAGTATTACTTCTGTGGAAAGGTAAACGGCGTCGAGACCTCCTCTCGGCTATTCGACTCTGCTTACGCACCACGTGGGTGCCCTCACGATCGCGCCAGATTCCCTGGCCCCACCAATCAACCCGAATTCAATTGAATCGCAGGTGAACTCGCTGTACGTCGTCGTCGGCTCGCTGCTGTTGGGAGCGGTGGTGCTGGTAGTCGGCCTGGTGCAGCTCGCGCCGGGCGCCGAGGCCGCTCAGAACTCCGCGGCCTTGATCGCCACTGGCAGTGGCCTCCTGGTGATCGGGGTGTTCCTCGCGCCTCTGAGGGCCGTCTGTATTAGGAGACAGAGCGCCGCGCACAAAGACGGCACTCATCAACGGAGCGTCACCAGTATAGACATGCTTCTGGCACAGCACAGGTAAAGCGACCGACCGATCGATCGTCCCGGGGTCGATCTACCGTTCGTGAGACTGAAAGAGAGAGAGAGAGAGAGAGAGAGAGAGAGAGAGAGAGAGAGGGTGTAACTGCGTCTCTGGAGAAAAAGGGCCAATGTTCAATGTCTCTTCGGCTTCTCCTCGGTTATAGAAGAGTCTTAGACTCTCTGTGAATATTTCAGGATCCGAGCAATTTCTCCTCTCGTGAGCTCGACCGCAGATCTCGTATTTTAATCATTGCAATCTCGTGGCTACGCAGAGGGACTCCTCGGTGTGAATAACACATCACATTGGTAGTGAAAATTACCGCGCTTGTACCGCGCAATTTAATTACACGCGGTCGAAATCAAGGTCAACAGGTTTGCTGTGGAATCAGAACTTGTATGTCACAGTAATGAATTCATGCGGACATCCTCCTTTGGTTGATGAGATAAAATTTGCCGCGTTTCCTCGTGAAATTTGCATAACATTGCAAAAATACTACGATTGTAACCGCGATTTCTTAATATGCGTCCCGAAGAACAATTCTTTCTGCGTGGAATAGTAGGTCTCGGTGTCGCGAGTTTGGAGATTCTTCAGGTAGAGGCGGAGAGACCGAAGGGCAACTGAGCACTGGTCCCCCTTCTGCAATCCAAGCAGACTGTTCGCGCCGCGCATTTCGCCGTAATTCGCTCCTCTCGAACAGGGACTTCACGGTCCTGACGCCGGACGAGCTCGAGGACCTGGTGGGCCGGCCGACGTCCAACGCGGAGAACAAGCAGCCTCACAAGCAGGGCCACAACACCTAGGTATCGTCTGCCTCGAGGAAGGCACCGCCTTCGTCGCCACCATGCTCGAGTACGCTACCACCATTGTCCAACACATCGCTAGGACCAAGTTCCTCCATTCTGTACACGCATCGCTACGACTCGCGCGAGCATAGTTTGGTTTAATCGATGTGCACTCGTCATTTTCGCGAATGGCAATGGCATTCGACGCACTTTGTAAAACGACGCACCGCAGCCGAGGACGAGAGGCCGGGCGAGATCGTTTTGTCGAGGGCGCGCATCACACATCGCGTCATCATCGCGCGCCCCTCGCTGCTTCTCGATCGGGCTCGGAGGTAGGCGCAATTCGTCGACGTGAGAAAGTATAGCCGATCAACGCCGATGTAGATCTTCGCATCATCATCATTCCATCCATCCCTCGTCGGGCCAATCGCCCACAGTCCAATCACACCGCTTCTGCGACTCGGTCTCTCTCCGAGATATTCGCCCGCTCGCCCGAGAAACGACCGGGTGCACTTCTTGACTTGAACACTCGACGGCTTTTTCGCGTTCCTCGCGCATTACGGAACGTCATGAACAAGGGGACCTAAACGATCTTTCATTTAGCGCGCTGCTCCTCTCGATCGCGATAGCTTCGCGATGCCGGCCGCGACCTTTCGAATCGAGTCGCGGCGATGCACGCGCAATTTTGCACCGTGCTGCCGTCAGAGATCTGCAATATGACCCCGCGGTGTCCGAATGTGAGTCCTAGTTAATGTCGCTTTCGCACTAACGGCGACACGCGCACGGAAAACGGAGACGAAGGTGTCGGTTTCTCACGGAAAAACACGCGCGCCGGCAACGCGAGGCGCTTTCGCAACGCAGAGCGAGTGACAAGAAGCATCAAACACACACATACACACACACACACACACACACAAACATACACACAGCGCACTCGAATAAATCTATTTGTGTTCCGACGAGAGCGTTGCGACGAGATATACATGCGAACGAGAGATACACGTACTCTCGTGGGAACACCTCAACGAGACGGGACGTGAGTTTTTGAGCGAGAGGAGACGCAAGTTTAAGGCGCTTTTCTTACTCTTTATCTTTCACCGTAAGCTTAGGCGGCTCCAGTTTGGACCGAATTTATAGCTGTGAGAGCCTATGGACAATCAACGCGACACACGGCCGCTCGAAAAATGTCACGGTAGTCCTGGTGGAATTCCAAATGTCACAGTTAAAATTTATCGCTGTTTTTGGTATTTGCTGGGAAATTCTCTGCGGTACGCATAGAATTTATTACAGCCGGAAACACTAGCAATATCTGCCAGCAAATTCAAGCGGATGTGAGGATTACATATTCGTTTGTCTCTCGTCGCTGGTTGCTTTCTTTCTGCTATACAGTCACTTGTATAAAAAGTGTGACTAGTCTTGATCTGGATGGACGCCACAGAGAGACTTTCTCGCGCTAAAATTTGCGAATAGTTCAAATTCCGTCTCCCTGTCGTCTGTCTATCGTTTAAATACAAAACATGCGTGATATCGTAATATTTGCGATAGTCACTTATATATTCATCTCAGTTGATTTTGCATATCCAGACAATTTTCACCGTGACTACGAGACTATTTTCGAGTGGCGCGGCTGTGAAGCCTCGACTTGACCCCCCGAAAGCTGTCACACCCTTAAATGCGGTCCCACGAGTCTTAGGAAAATTTTTCGAAATCGAAACGCGAAGACACGCGGAGACACGACGTTCACGCGATGTCGTGGTTCTCCGACCACGCCAATCGGACTTTCTCAATCGGTCAGTGTCTTCGTTATCCTTTTCCCTCTCTCGCTGAAGCGGGAACTATTGTACAAGCGCGTGCGAAATGGTTCTATAAATACGTACATATAAATCAGGGATCAGATGCGTCTTTGAGAAGCGCGCTTTGTCGCGTTCGATTCACTTCTACACATACGCAAACATAACACACACACACATATACATACGCATTTCTTACATGAATGATCGCTTGTGCGCGTTGCATTTCGGTTTGAACGTCTTTCAAGAATTAGACGAGACGAGATGAGATGAGATCTGTCTGTCTCTCTCGCTTTCTTCGCGATGCACTCTCGGTCCTCTCGCGACCGAGACGTGCATCTCGAGGACAAGGCGAAGTTGTACGCGACTTCGCGTTCCCGTTGTCCAGTATCGTTGAAATTTTGTCGACGAGTATGCTCGCGTCCAGCGAATTCCCCGCAGGGTACATCCGCGAGAACACCATTGTTTGTCACAAGGACTCGACGACGTTGCTTTCTCAAAGACTAAATTGTGTTCAAATTACGGACAAGTGCGTGTGTCCGGGTCGGCGGAGACTCTATCAGGCGAATTGAGCTCTCGGTATTTCGAGTCACTTACGCAGAAATGCAATTCGCGCGCGTTTAGACGTGTACAGAAAGTTGCGACGGGGAGCTCTCGGGGGGAAACCTCCCCCGAAATTCGTTTCTCGCGCTGAGGATGAGGGTAGAAACAGCGACAGTAAGGAGTCACGCGCGAACAGAGAGAAAAAGAAGATACTCTGAGTCTCGCGTTATGCTACTTCGTTGAACTTATTACTTCGTTGAATTTTTCGAGAAATTCTCGCGCGCTTATCGCGCGAGCAGTGATATCGATAAGACGGCGCGACGATGCGTCCCACGAAAGTAACGCGCGATACACATACACAGCCCCATCGATCAGGCCAGGTATGATCAGTGGCAAAAAAGTTACAGTGCCTCTCACCCCGATGAGCTTTGAGAGGCGCATCCAGTGGAATGCATCTTGAATAGGAATTGCACGCTCTGGAACTAATAGGGGAATTTATCAAAAAATATACGTAGGCTCTCTCTGAGATTCAAAATCAAAGGTCACAAGTTAAAGGCCGATGAGAGCCATGTCGCGCGCCATATGTTTCGATGCGAATATTTTATTACTTAGAAAAATTATAGGGAACAAAATTAGAATTAAAATTCAGAATTAAAATTAACAAACGTCTCGGCTCCTACTTTGAGCCCTTCTGAGAATTTTCCTTCTGAGAATCACGGGGAAAACAAATTTTCCCAACGGACACGCGAAACTCAGTGCAAAAAAAGTGAGCAAAAAATGTCGGAATCTTGCGTGTCGTAAAGTACAATTAAAATTAGCGAACGTCTCGGCCCTTACTTTGGGCCCTTCCGATAGGAAAATTTGTCTTCTGAAAATGACGGAAAAAACAGATTTTCCCACTGCGCATGGATGCATTGCGAAACTCATTGCAGAAAAAAAAAAAAAAACAAACAATGTCGCGATCTTTTGTGCCACTGACGGTACAATGCCGAGACACCTCGTTAAAGGGCAAGGGAGGGAATTACACACAACGCACATGTGTGCCGGAGAGAAAGAGAGAGAGATTGGACGAGTAACGAACCTCACGCGCAACAAAACACGCCGAGAGATCAATAAAATAATGCTTATATAGAGTGGCGTGGCGAAAAGTGGGAATCAGCGGCGCGGGACGACGAGCCGCTTACGGGGAGGTCCTTCCTTATAGCGGAGAGATTCGAGCGTTCTAGCACGATTAGGCTGCCTCTCTCCCTCTCCCGCTCCCACCCTCCCAATCGCCCTCACCTTCGCGAAACTGTAAGTGCAAGTCTAATTTTATACACGGTGCAAATGTGAAGGCCTCCTTGTGAAGAGATTTTCGCATCGGGGGCGGCGAGCGCGTAACGGCGAGTGAGAAAGAAGTCGCTGATCTGCCACTTTTCGCGAGACCGACGTGTATGCAAATCGTATGTAGGATATTTTAGGGATAAATATCGGATGTGTGCTAGTCTTACACCGATCGTTTAACGAGACGTTTAACTTTCTAATGAATCTCCTTAATTTCGACGCAGCGTCTGTCTTTGTTTCTCTCTCAAGTTAGACAAAGATAGACATATGATTTAACTATTAGTTAAGCGGGATCTACAATGCGAACTTAAGTCATAAAAGTTAAGCTGTAAGAAATTGAGATCAATCACAATAAAATATAAGGAAAATAATCGACTGTGATTGATCAATTTCTAACGGCTTCAGGCTTAAAGCTTAAGTTTTATGGCTTCTCATTGTAGATCCCGCTGTAGCTTACCAAGAGGTTGGAACAATCAATCCTTAGTGTAATCTTATTGTTTGGTGCGCTAGTTAAACGATCGGCGTAAACGAGACCTATACCGGAATCGACGTGTTCTCGTTAGGAAGATAAGCGATAGAGAGACTTAACATTACATTCGCGACGGCGACGGTGGTGAATAAAATTCTTTCCGTTCTCTTGTGCTTTTCTGTTTTCCAATCCGTCGTCGCCTGGATCCCCGTTTGAGGAGCGACATTCGCTTGTTTCGCGCGGTTCAAACACGTCGGATGGGGTGATCGCGAGGTTCTCGAGGAATCAGGGTTCGCGTGAGAAGGAAATCAACCGCCTAACGTAGACATAATAAATCAAAACGTTAGAAGACTAATTAATAAGTATAATTCGCGTCGCTTCATCGTTTCCCTAGACTCACGCGCCGGTAGGAGGGTCCGTCGTGTTTTTAGGTTCATCCTTAGTTGACACCACGAACTGTATGAGACATTGTTACATCGCGAAACGGTCAGATCCGCACGACGAAAACGGAAGAGAAAGGGAACGATGCCGCCAGAGAGATCCTAATCCATCTAGGCATAGGCAGACGCACACGCATACACACACATACGCACACACATGCGGTTTGCGAGCGGTGCGAGGTTGCTTTTTCATAAAGCGAAGCGAGAAAAATTGCAGAAGCTTTCAGAAAAAGTAACAGCCAGAAGAGGCTCCTCGTATGACGGATATCACGTAGAAACATTTATTTCTAGCGAGCCAGCAGCTTTGAAAGAAACACATATCTGTCGGTTATGAGTAGAGATATATTTTTATCGTCATTAGTGAGGTACACAGTCGTGGAAGGGAGAGGATTTTAGCAATTAAGCGCGCGGATGTGGAGGAGACGAGCAGAACAACTGTCCATATTTTGCATAATTAAAGAGAAAAGCTTGCATCTGTCTCGTGTAAGATTCTTCTGCAGGATGCTCGCGCCCTGTGTTGTACACGAATGATTTCGGATGTGTGAGCGCAAAAAAGAGCGAGTGCGACGATCGCCGTTAGCGATGAGGAATGTGAGAGTGTGTGAGAGAGAGAGAGAGAGAGAGAGAGAGAGAGAGAGAGAGAGAGAGAGAGAGAAAGAAAGAGAGAAAGAGCGCAAGCCGATATTTTCGAGGTATGTTGTATTCTCTGATTCGATTGAATTCGCTATTTTCGTTCACGTCACTCGCAAGGGATTTTCGCGCGCGAGCGCGCCAACTCCTCGTCATGGGACGCGGGTTCGCGAACGGATCGGCGCGGTTCGATCGGCCGGGATTGTGATTGTTCGCCGCGATTGTAGGATTTATTATGACGCGACGCAACTCGATATATGGCAACGGTGCAACGGGGAAGCGAGACGGCGAACGGACGGCGACAGAACGCGATCGCGAGGGGAGAAATCCTCCCGGGGAAGAAGAACGGCGAGAGAACCTACGACGATTCCCCGTTGCACGGGGAGAGAAGCTGGACGTAATTTTAAGGGATTCAACGCACAGAATTAGCCGTAAGCATTTTTATAATGGTGTTCTATGTATATTGATATTACTACTACTACTATTATTATAATTACCATTACAACTACTATTATACTACTATACTATTACTGTACTACTACTATTACTATTACTACTACTACAACTACTACTATTACTATTATTATCACTAATTACTATTCATGAAATAGCCCGTTGTACTTGTGATCTGGCCGCGACGATGCCGGCAGAAGTGTTCTTCGTACATGTTGAAGTCATCATCCATAGGACTGGATAGCGTTACTATGCCTAGCCTTGTACATAAGAAAGTTTGTAAACGCGGAGAAATACGGGTCGGAGGAGGCGAGGGCGGAGCAGGAGGAGAGGGGAAGGAGAAAGAGATAACGTGTCGGCGCCTACCTCCGGCGAGACTTGCCGATTTTTTTCATTACGCGGAGCGGATTGCAGCTCGCCGCGCGTAATTCCAAAAGATGCATATCGTACGAGGATTTTCGTAGAGACACACACTCGTCAGCTGTGATTGCAGCATTTTTGTAGATTTATTACATTTTATAAACGACCGTTGCGCTAACTACGTATTATCGTATTATCGGTATCTCTCTTTAAAGTAGCGTTCACACAAAACAAAAGAAATACACACACACACACACACACATGTACACCCACTCACAACACTCGCTACATTCAGAATCGTTCTAAACTTAGACTATCTCTATGCATTATTCTTACAATCGTCCGCTTAAATCGACGACATTCGATCGGTATGTAAGTATCAATTGGTAATGACAATTGGTCGCGATCAATGGGTGGTAAGCGCTCTCGGGATCTCGACGTGCACGGGCGCCGTGATTGAGCTGAGCCGAGCGCACGAAACATTTCGCGGTCGCTTCAACAAATTCAATCGTTCTCCCATTACCTCCACAGTTGAGTTACCCCCAAAAGAGAGTTATCCTTGAATTTGCATCGTGTGTGCACGACACACGAGCCGAAATGCTGCAAGCACAACTTAATTTACGTCACAACGGACATGTCTGTACGCCGCGTGATGCGCAACGGCATTACTTGATATTACGATGTATTAGGTACATATAATCGAGAAAGTTCTACCGGTAAGCTTACAATTAAAAGTCGTAGCGTACATAAATTTATAGATAAGGAATGCTGTATCGCGAGGAGTTCGCGATGACGCGGCCATCATTGTTGAGGCTGGTCACATTATCGAGGTGAATGAGCGTAACGTTGGGTTTACATTCGACACTTATCTCACCTGTGACAACCCCCCTCTCTCGCGCGTATTGTGCGCATCGAAATTACCATTTCAACGGTGACGATTGTTATTGGGTACACCGACGCGCGCACCGACGTATGTCGTAATATATTCGGGAGATACAGGCTTCCGGGTGAAAAGCGCCCGGATCCTTCTATCACTGCCAAAGGTTAATTATAACGCGAGACACGTGACGGACGTTGAAGCGAACCGCGGGGAAGTTTCGGAAGCTAAGCGCAGAAGCTGCACGTTAGACCTCAACAATATGTTCCGCCATTGTGAACATGCCGGAGACATTCTCTCAGTAACACAGCTATTACATATTACAGAATATTTTATCGGGAACATTCTGACTTGCTTAAAGGTTGCGTTGATCCGTATATTTTGTAAGCAAAGATTATCGATAGCAGTTAATAAATATTACTAATACGATACTTTATCCCGACGTGCGACAATTCGTCTCCACTCCGACGGAATTGGCGTTCATCTTTCAGTGATGAGGTTCCCTAAATATCCATCTCCTCTTTCGAACTAAGTCAAGGACAAGTGATGCTTCTTTCCTTTTATTTAAAAGTCTTTTCTCTGTATAAACTCATTTCCATGTGATTTTTCTTCTCATCGAAGTCTTTCACAGATCCATCAGATTTCGTGCGCTTGATGAATTTAAAAAATTATATAACTTGTGCAAAAATGATGATAACAAGATGCTTCGAGAAGCATTTTAAGGATGAGAGTTTCTACTTTCCAAATATATTGGAATATAATGTTCATTTACTTTTTACAGCATTTTATTACAATAAATGACAATCCGTATAATGTTAAAACTTTTTATAAAGTTTATCGAGTTGCATCGTATGAAAAAAAAATTATACAAAGCTATGATTTATATCATTTGAAAGCGTAAATCGCTCCCTTTAATGTGCATATCAACAAATTATGATATGATTTTTTCTCACTGAGTTATTCAATATTGAAGCGAAAACCGTCCTTTCGGTTTTAATTGCTCGTAGTAGGCGAACGAATTAATGTATGACATTTCCTAAGGAATGAATAAAAAGTTTCCTCTCTAAGATGCATTTACCATATTTTTTGTGAAAATACATTTTCATTGTAAAAACTTAACTAAAATTTAAAATTGAACAGTCGCCATTTTGCACTTAACTCGATATACTTTGGCGACAACTTAATCAGAGATTCAAACTTTTCTAGCAACCGTAAAATATATATAATGCCACACTGCGCAATTAAATATGGTAAAACTGCATTGAAAAATATATGATTCTTGTTTGAGCGATTCATCCAATTTATTTCTTTTTTCGAAATATTAATTATTAAAATTATGCTTCGCGGCTCGCTAGAAAGGGTTGAATCTTGACTAAGTAGTCGATAAATCTTGTTTGAAAAACGTTCATATCTTGGCTAATGATGTCGACATTTAATTCCGAAATCTCCGCTACGAGCCGCCACTGTATACATCGACCGAATGAGGTAGTGAGAATGCCGAAACGAGGTTGTAGGAGTGGGGAGAGTGAAGAGAAGTAGTGAGCTTTTATCGGTATTTATTGGCATTTATCTCCTTTTGAGTTTGTTTTACTCCCATTTCGGGTTTTTTTATCTTCCAGCCGATAGGACCTCAATTATAAGAAGTAGCGTGTAAAGCAATTAAAGTACTGTCAAGAAATTGGGACCGAGAGGAACAGCTAACAGGGGAACATGAGCTCTCCCCGGCTTACGAAGAAATAAACGAGGTTATGAGATGTTTCTTACCTCAAGAGTTTAGTACAGAAATGATAAAAAAGAAAAACAAACCAATGAAAATGGAAGTGCGAACAGAAATAGGAAGCCTAAAAAGAGCACATTCTTCCACGGAAGAGGAGAATGTCCGACAAGAAAAAGAAAGACAAAAGACAAAAATGACGGGAAATAAGAAGAATACGAAAAACAAAGTCAGTCGCAGATCAATTTCACTGACAAGAGATAACGAACAGAACAAAAGGAATGTAACATCAGGGAACGAAGGAAAAAACCGCTCAATAGTGTGATTCTGTAACTCGTTATTGCAGTTAACGATCGTTTCGTTATCATTGTGCAGCTTTTCGTACTATATAAAAGCTGTGCAACGGTAACGACTGTCGTTAACTGCAATAACGAGTTACAGAATCGTACTACAGCAGAACAAAGAAAACCCACGAAGGATACAAACGAAAAGGCAACGATAGAAGAGGAAGAAAAGGAAAAATACGATGTCTTTTCAAGGGCATTATATATAGTACACGTTCGACAACCTTCCACTAAAGAAAAGAATAAGAACCCAACGCCATTATTAACGATCGCGAAAAAACTAACAAAAGCTAACATAAAGTTTAATGAGGTCCGAAGACACAAAAGAGACACCTGGAAGTTGACTTTCACGTCAAAAGTAGCAGCAAACAATACAGTAACATATAAATACTTGAAAGACATAGCGTTAGTAGCATTTATCCCTCGCTACAAACTCAGTCGCAAAGTGGTAATCAGGAATATACCGTTAGACATGAACCTTGTAGAGTTTAAGCAGGTAATAAAAGAAGAAAACCCAAACGTGCGGATAAATAATATATTTCGCATGAAACGTCGAGAGAGGGTAACAAGACAACTAGTAGAGTCAGAATCAGTATGTCTTGAAATAAAATGAGAAACGGTTCCAGAGGCAATATCCATCCTGAGAACAATAAACCCCATCACCATATGTAATGAGATTATGCTACAACTGTGGAAGATTTGAACACATAGACAAGTTCTGTAATAGACTAGTTAAATGCTTAACGTGCACGGGCGATCATAAAAGCACAAGGGAATCATCATGTACGGAAGGAAAAAAAACGTGTATAAACTGTGGCGGCAATCACGGCACTGCAGATCATACCCCATATATAAACAGCAAAGTGAGATTGCCAGAACCATGGCATATGACAATCTACCATTTGTCGAGGCGATGCGGGTGGTAATAAGAAGCGAAGTTAAAATACCTGAAAAAACAATGCGGAATTACTCTCTACTCCCAACTGAGACGCCTACATCACCATGGACTAGGCTGGGAACAACAATAGGAAAGTTAACAATATCATCGATGCTGACATCAACAGGGCTCGAGAGGACAATGAACAAAACAAAATAATTCAAGACCAAATCGGGCTTTTGATGAAAAAGATTTCGAGGGTAACAAACGTAGAGACAACTAATCACCAGATTAATGAAGACCATAGAATTGCACAATAATAATACCAACACTAACACAAATTAAAATGACTCAGAAAAACAAATATGATCTCTTACAATTAATACAATGGAATGCAAAATCCATTTGACTCCATTATAGAACTTAAGCGATATACTTCGATATATAACTTCTTTATTGTTTCAGAGATTTGGCTAAGACCAGAAAGATCGTTTATTGTCAAAGGTTTTGACACGGTGAGGAAGAACAAAGAAAACCGTAGAGGAGGAGGCGTTATGATTTTAATCAATAGCTCATTTAAATATAAAAGGGTACCGCACATCTACAACTGCAACGATAAAATAGAGATATGCGCAATAGAGGTGAATCTGAACGAGGATCCTCTAATATTGGTAGCATGTTATTGTCCCCCACAATACGACTTAATTTCGGCGAAAGAATGGTTGAGATTTTTCACCCAATTTGGTCAAAAGAGGGTCTTCGGAGGGGATTTCAACTCACATAACGTCGTTTGGAGCTCCTCCCGGACATGGCCCTCAGGGGCTAATTTGGAGGAGGCTCCGGAGGACTCAG